AGGAGGAAGAGGCCGAGGTGGGGTGGCAGGAGAAGCTCTTCAGCCAGGTGGGTGTGCGGCGGTGGGCCGGGGCTTGGGGGGTTTCTTCTCGTCGTGTCGCCCGACGGCTCCCCCCTTTCCGCGCATCTCTGTTGGGTCTCCTGCTGCGGGGTGCCCAGCCCGAGCCCCCCAGGCGGGGGTCAGTGGGGGCTGTTGGCCGCTGCATGCCTGAGCAGAGTCAGAGCTGCTCCAGAGCTTGGGTTCGCTGGGACTCCTGAAGGATCTTGTCCCTTTCTGTGGTGGCTTTGGAAATCTGAGGTGAGAAGCATTTGTGGCTCTGATAGCACTGGTGAAAGGCAGCTTGTGTACTTTACCTGTGGTGCTCTCAGTTTGAGGTGGATCTGTACCAAAATGAGTCAGCCTGCCAGACACCCCTGGACCGGCAATACCATGAGGAGATCCTCAAACTGGAGAAGGCTGGAGGTCGGAAGAACTGTCGCATCTTCACCTACACTGATCATGACCGATTCACCAACCTAGAGGAGGTACCAGCTCGTAGTTACACATAATCTAATACAGTGGTGTCTGTCAAAACCAACAGGCCTACTGCAGATGGAACATTTGTCAATTCTTGGCCATGCAGAAGCAAGCCAGACATCCTGTATGCAGGAGAGCATACTGCTTCTGCAAAGCAGCTTCACTTGGTGCCCCAGAGCCGGGATGAAAGCTCCGCATTGCAGAACAATGGGCAGGATCAGCTTAGAGGGACTTGGCTTTGTGGCATTGCCATGTAGGTAACTTGCTGGGTGGAGTTTAGCTGCACTTTGCCACGAGAACAGTGAATGAAATCTACAGTCTTTTATCAATTTGGCCTTGCATCTGTATGTGTACATATCTTTCCTCCAAGAGTGGAGCTGTGTTTAGGAAAGATGTCCTGTTACAATTAACCTTGTTCCTGCCTGTTTCTCTCTTCCAGCACTGCCAGAAGGTAACTGACTCAGATCATGAGGTACCATCGTATCTGGCAGAGAGGATGGCCAATGTGAGAAGGAGAAGACAAGACCGCAGGTCAATGTGAGTGCAAACTGGGGCTCAGAGCTTGCTAATGCAGGTTCCCTGGTGCTGGTGCCTCAGACTGGTCTGTGGAAGTTGATGGCTTGAGCTGTGTCACACTTGGAATCCAGCAGCGTGACTCCTCATCATGAGGGGCTTGGCACTGCCTGAACTGAGCTGCTGAGGTGAGCTGTCCCTTGTGCTGTTCTGTTGTTGACAGAGAAGCAAGTTCTCTGAAGTCGAAAATCATCACCTGGGAACCCTCAGAGGAATTTGTAAAGAACAATCACGTGATTAACACTCCTGTCCAGACCATGTACATCATGGGGGATTTGGGACCTTATGGGAAGTAAGTAAAATCCTGAAGGGATCTTAATTTCCCAGAATGAAACCCATCCTCCCTCCTCACTCAAATCTCCTGTTTCTTTCATTAGTTAGAGGGAAGGAATTCCAAGAGCTCAGTAACTGGAGCTATTTTTTTCTGCCTCTTCCTCAGTTGGGAGGTAACTGAGTGTATCCCTCCAAAAGCCTTCTTAAACTAATGTAGGAAAGTATGGAGGTGTTCCCTTCTGTACCCCCATGTGCATTTGCCAACTTTGCTGTTCCAGATCAAGAAAGTGTCCATGTTTTCTATTTAGACTCTGTTTCTTTATGTCTTCCATTAGGCTTGGTCACAGGGAGTATGAACATGTTCTTTGCACAGTCAAGGTGGATGACAATGGGGTGATCACAGTGAAGCCTGACTTTACTGGCACCAAAGAAGCTTACCGGTGAGTGGGACAGGGTTGGTACCGCTCGTGAGACCGATACAGGGGGCGGAAAGGGCTGTGTGCTGGCCACACTTAGCACTTACATTGAGGGATATTTTATAGTTTTACTCCAGAGATATCTCAGACAAGGTGATTGTGTACTTGTGCTTGGTGTCACTGCGTGTGTGATGTGTGGGGCTTTGGTACCAGTCCCAAGGGATACAGGTTATGCCCATGCTGGACACAAAGGAGCCTCCTTTTTTGAGTCATTGATGATGGCAGCACTTGGGAGCGGGGAGGGGGCCATTAGTGCCCTCATGTTACTGCCCAGGCCTGGTGGAGAGGGGATTGCTTTGTCAGGACGGCACAGTTGGTGCTATTGCTGCCTGCACCTATTCTCTATGTAATGAGGGAGTTTTGCCTATGTGTTCTGGGGCTCTGCAGGATCGAGCTGGATGGAGAGAAGCGAGAGGTGTGGAAATACACCATTGAGAATGCATCTGTCCAGGTGCAGCCAGAGGAGGAGGAACGCGAGCAGCGTGTTTTCAGAGACGTAAGGACTGGCTGCCACTGATCGTATCAACTAGTTCTGCTTGGACAGAGGGAAGTCAGACGCTCTGTAGATGTAATTATTAGTGCAGTAGACACTAAGTAGATGAATGAGGCTCATTGTGCCCAGCAATTGAGAAGTCCAACAAATCCTGACCACTTCCTTTCCTCACTTTAGGTCTTAGTGCAGCAGACACTAAGTAGATAAAATGAATGTCACTGGTAGTGAGGCTCATTGTGCCCAGCAATTGAGAAGTCCAACAAATCCTGACCACTTCCTTTCCTCACTTTAGGTCAAGGCCTTGTCCAGTGTTAGTTGTGTTGGCATCTGACTGCAGTGGTTTGTGTAGTGAGAACTGAGGCGAGAAGCCATCAGTTCATTCATGCCTTTCTAGAGTTAACTGCCAGTGGTTTTCCTTCCCTTTTGAGAGTGGGCAAACCCTTTCCTTGGTTGTCTTGCTGCCTGTATTCTTACTGAATGATTTATTATTACCGATAACATCTCAGGTTACTTGGATCTCATTTTATGTCTTGATCTTTCTGAATTGCTTTTTTGGCTGTGGCAGTTTATAAAAGTACTTAATGGTTTAGTTTTTCATGTGTACGTATCCTCTCTGGTTTTGTGGTCAGTAAGGAAATAATGATTTTCACAGAATCACAGAATCGCTCGGTTGGAAAAGACCTCTGAGATCATCACGTCCAACCGTTCCTGTCTACCCCCTAAACCATATCCTTAAGTACCTCGTCTACCCACTCTTTAAACACATCCAGGGATGGTGACTCCACCACCTCCCTGGGCAGCCTGTTCCAGCTTCTGACAACCCTCTCAGTAAAGAACTTCCTCCTTATCTCTAACCTGACCCTCCCTTGGCACAGCTTGGTGCCGTTTCCCCTTGTTCTGTCCCCCATCACCTGGGAGAAGAGACCAGCACCCACCTCTCTACAACCTCCCTTGAGGCAGTTGTAGGTGGTGATGAGGTCTCCCCTCAGCCTTCTCTTCTCCAGGCTAAACAAGCCCAGTTCCCTCAGCCGCTCCTCATCAGGCTTGTTCTCCAGAGCCCTCCCCATCCTTGTGGCTCTTCTCTGAACACGCTCCAGAATCTCAACATCCTTCTTATAGTGAGGGGCCCAGAACTGAACACAGCACTCGAGGTGTGGCCTCACCAGTGCCGAGTACAGGGGGATGATCACCTCCCTGGCCCTGCTGGTCACACTGTTTTTAATTCAAGCCAAGATGCCGTTGGCTTTTCTGGCCACGTGGGCACAGTGCTGGCTCACCTTAAGCCGACTGTCAACCAACACCCCCAGGTCCTTCTCCTCCAGGCAGCTACATGTTGCTACACTAATCTCCCATCTGTTGATTTCCTTGGAACAGTTTATGTTTTGAACATGTCATTTAAGATCTGCTGATTCTTCGGAGCTTCTTTTTCCCTCCGACTGGCCTTCGACAAGGTCTTCTCTGAAGCTAAAGTTCCTGCAGTGTTAACAGTTATGCATCTTTGTTCTGTTAGATTCTTGTATTCTCTGTGTTTGCTATAACAGTGTTTAAAACCCTGTGTGTTAAGCCTGTCAACAATTTAAATTGGTTTTAAGTTATATCCATTACAGTTTTTGCGATAAGTAAAAACATAAATGATCAAAGAAGACACTTTTTTCTGATCAGTTTGTTCTGTGTTTTCAGCTGTATGATCGCCACAGGGAGTACCTCAGTCGTCTCGTAGGCTCAGAATTTGAAATGGTGAGTACCAGTGACACTTGGCGGAGAGCTGGAGCCCTGCTGCTTTTGGAGACTGTTGGCCTGGTCAGCATGGCTGCTGTTTGTACCACAGCCTCCATAGAGTGTTTTGTTCTGGGGGAGTGTTGGCAGCTTTTGCCTTGTGGTTTCCAACAAGAAACTGAGTCAAGAGGGACAGATTGTAATTGATGGGGAGCCTGCAGAGATCCATCCTGCACTGTCTGACCAGCAGCGGAGCATGTTGAACCCTGCGCTCTCTGTGAGACTGGGTATATTTTCTGAAGCCCTTTTACTATAATAGTTTATGAAGAAAAGAGGGTTTATATCTTTTAGGATAGTGATTGCTGTTAACTTCTTGAATGTCAAACACATCTGTGTGCCACTTTGTTCAAGTAAACAGCCCCTCCCACCGCCAGACTCGGGTGGTTTCCCTGCTCGCTGAATCACCCAGACTGAGTCGTTTTTGCCTAAATCTTGTTTGCCAGTCTGTGAAAGTTTTACTTGCTTAGATGTTGATGGAGTGTCTCAGCTTGTCCTGTGCTTCCCCCGGCTCCTCCCATTTTGGGCAAGTGCAGGATCACTACAGGATAAACAGGACTGTGCTTTCTGCAAGTGACTTCTCGCTGCATTTTATATCCATCTTGAAGTCTGTGTAAGACCTGATTTATAGAGTAGTGAACTCCTGCAGTCTAGGAATTTGGTCTCTCCAGGAAGCCTTGCTCCAGAGGCACTGTTCACTTCTGGAAAGGACGAGAGAAGTCATGATTCCTGCCTGGGCAGCAGAGTGAAGCATTCATGTACAAACATCTGTGAAATGTCCTTACGGGACCTGTTGGGAGGGAGTTGTGTGAGGTTCCACCTGTGGTCTAGACCTTTATCTTGTTTATCTGCTTCTTTTTGCAGACTCTTCCTGGTACTCTGCGGCTTTTTGTGAATGGAGAAATAGGTGAGTCCTCCTTATAAACAGTAACTAGGGGCAAATCTGGATCTGCTGGGATGGCTGCGACTATGAAGTGTCTAAAGATTCTTGGATCACAGTCTGGTCCAGAGTAGGTGATTCTCTCCCTAGAATCCTTTACTTTCTCCTTCTCCTCCCCTGTTTTTGCAGACTAACGCCTTGAGTGGCATTTACAGATTGGAGGTTACAAATACTCCAGCTGTTCTAGGAAAGTATACAGATCTGAAAAAAAGAGAGCAGACTGGGAAATTAATAGAGATTATAGCAAGGAAGGCAATTAAATGTGTGCCCTCCCCAGTTTGGTTAGTGATGTGGAGACAGGGCTAGTCTAGAGAGGGAATCTTCTCTGAGGGTCATATTCTGTTACTTTCAAGACCCCGACTTCTCCCAGCTTTCAGCAGTAACTGGTTGTCCCTGAGGTTATTGGTGCTTGCTCTTCGAAAGTCTACAGTGAGTTCTGGAGGAGATTGTGTGGAAGCAAGTGGCTGAAGTTCATTCTCTCTTCTCAGTTTCAGCTCAAGGCTATGAGTATGACAACCTCTATGTTAATTTCTTCCTGGAGCTGCCTGACCGTAAGTGTCCGCATTGCCAGCCGTATCACAGCAGTCTGAGGAGTGAAGCATGCTTTGGCTGGTCCATCAGATCAGCTCTGCTGAAAGTCAGTAAAAGTTAATGTAAGGGCTGGGATCTAGTAATGAGTTTGCAGAGCTAGAACTGCAGAACTCCATTGCTTGAACTAAATTTGTATCTGGGAAAGAGTAGCATCTTCCTCTCTCATCTCTTCCAAATCATAGAGATGAGAAAATAATTTTCAAACCAGTGGTGATGGTGCCCAGCAGTCTACCCAAAGCCAATCCCTCATGCTGTGGAGAATAGCCCTCCTGTCTTCTCCATCTCAGCAGTGACCTTGTCTGATTTCAGTGCTCACCATCATGTTCTCATGTTTGTGCTGGTGCTAACATACTAAATTTTGAGTGATAAATAAGATTCCCAGCACTAATATGCACATCCTCCTGCATGTTTAATTCCCTGAAGCTATGACCTTGTCCTTCCCGTCTGGTTATACCCTGACATTTGTCCCAAAAGATGCTACTTTTGCTACTCAGTACATTTAGATAAGGTTCTGCTTTTCTCTTAAGGTGGAGTTGGTGCTTTTTATTGACAGTTCAGGGCGTTCTGGGGAGCAGCCATTGCCTGGAACAGGACGGGGTGGGAAACACCTAGAGAAATGCAGTGAAGGCGATGTTACCTGTTATCCCAGTCATCTAGGACTGACATTCTCCTTTGAACTGCTCTGGGTTGTGAGCCCTCCCTCTCACCCAAAGCATTCACCTCTGTGCTCGTGTTCTCCCAGAGTGGTCGAGCCCCGCGATGCAGCAGCTATCAGGAGTGACACAGACCTGTGCCACCAAGACAGTGGGCTGGGTAAGGACGCTTTTAAACCTGTGGAGCAGTCTGAACAGACATTCTCCAAAGTGGACGTGTGTAACAAGTTACAGATAGATTCAGTGAAGATCATGATTTGAGAGCTCCTTTCAAGGGCAGAGCATGTTTGGGACTCTCCTCATTCTGGTTATAGCTGCCATTTTTCAGGGTGCCACTGTGTCCAAATAGAATGAGGCCTAATAAAACTGCTTCAAAGCAGTTTCTGGAACCTTACTCTTTTCTTCTTTCTGGCTGTTTGATTGCCTTTGGAGCTTTGATTCTTGTGTTCTGCAGTGCTCAGAGTTAACCAAGCATTGTTCTGGCTTGCCTGGGGCAGGGATGCACACAGTGTCTAAATTGATTTCTCAAATTGAACCCCTCCTGTCTGGGAAGTTGGATCCATTGCTGTCTCCAGCTCTTGTCTTACAAAATATGAACTTTATAAATTCTTTTATGTCTTGTATGTGAGCTAATTTGCATATTAAAAAATCATTGTCATGCAACATTTCAGTAATACCATTGTTTGAAGTATTCTGCTTTGCTCCCATTAAGATGTGGTTACACAGCTGGCTGAATTGTCATTTGTCTTCCCCCTTTTTCATTCTTTTTGACAGCGTGTTCCATCAGCGTGGCACCTGGGGGAGTGTGCAGGGCCATCATGTGGTCAGGTGTTTGTTAGTGTGATGTGATTGATCCTGTTTGGGCATCATTGCCTCTTTTCCACCATTCTTTTCTCCCTGCTCTCTGAGCCCCCTGCAATGCTAGTGATGGATTCCCTTGTCCAAGAATCTGATCGCTGTCCTCTTCCTTTTCCAGGATAACGTGGCATACTTCTGCTACCCCTTCACTTTGGAGATGTTTTTCACGCAAGGAGATGAATCGGAAGGTGCATTTCCTTGTTGCTCTGAAGTGTGAAACTCTGAAATCTGTTGATCACAGTGTAGGCATCATGATGTCTGGCATCTTGTTGTTGACCCCTCGCCAAGATGAAAGGACGGATTTAAACAAAGGAAAATGTTGCCTGTTCAGCAAATGTTCAACCTGTCACCACACCACCTCTGGACATGCACTATATTTGCCCTGCCCAGCAATGGATTAGCATTTGCAATTTCCCTGCTTCCAGGCTGTAGTCAGCTTTATCCAGTTGCAAAACTACTTGGATCTTAGCTCGTCTGTCTCAAAATGCCTGCCATGCTGCTCTGTGCTGCCATACGCAGTGTACTGCACAGAGCCCTGGGACTCTGCAGCAGAAGAAATAGGCAGCGTTTCCGTACACAGCTAAAGCTGTGCTGAGTCTTGTGTCTGTAGACACACTCAGTGACCTGTATAATTTTTGTACAGTTTATGTCAAACCTTTGAAACCTCCAGCTCTATTTTAAGCTGGGCTTCTGTGCTGCCTGTTCCTGCTGCTTCACTACACTACTGTTGCTTCCTTACCAACCCCGTTGCTCTTTGGATTGCAATTGCTAGGGACAGCTTTGCCACGTGCTTTGCCACTTGAATTCAATGAATGCATTTGGATTTAAGTATTCAACCAGCACTAGGGAATTTTCAGCCTAAACACGATGAGTTTGTTTCACTGAGGAAAAAGGAAACACTTGGAGATCTGTAGGAGAATCCAAGTTAATAATCCCCCAATAATTGTGGGAAAGGTCAGAGGTAAAAAGGTTCCCCTGTTTGGCAACAGATTGTTCACAAAAGATTGTCTTGTCTGTCCAAAGGTGATTGAGGAACCAATTTGAACTTGCTCTTTAAGAAATTTCCCAAATTTTTAACATCAGTAATTCTGTTTTCATCCTCAAATCTGAGGGTGCAGCTTTTACTGGGGAAAATAATCACCCATACATCTAGGTTTGTCACTGTAGAAGAAATACAGAAAGGATTTCCTACTAGTGGAGTTGGGTGTTTAGCATTTTTTTGTCCTGTGATAGTCTCCCTCACAAAGCTGTGATCTGCTCCCCTTCCTTGCAGACAGCCTCCCTCAGTGGCCTGTTCTCTACTTTGCGGTCCTGTCCCTGGATTTCTGGCAGAGGTATCGTGTGGAAGGATATGGGTCTTTGGTGCTACCAGCATCTCCAGGTAAAACACGCTTGAGGCATTATGTTAGCTGTCTGGGAAAATGAGTTGCGTGGTTCTCTGTGTCTCTGAGTGGATCACAGCTGCTAAGTTCTCCTGTTGTCCTGGGTCAGGTCTCCACGTGCTCACCATCCCTACCTGGCGTCCTGTGGAGCTGGGCACAGTCGCTGAGCTGAGGAGATTTTTCATTGGTGGATCTCCTGAGCTGGAGGACATAACCTACGTCAGGATACCATCAACCTTCAAGGTGGGCTCAGCTGCAGGGCATTGCTTTGTAAAACACACTTGAGGCATTATGTTAGCTGTCTAGGAAAATGACTTGCGTGGTTCTCTGTGTCTCTGAGTGGATTGTTGGTCACAGCTGCTAAGTTCTCCTGTTGTCCTGGGTCAGGTCTCCACGTGCTCACCATCCCTACCTGGCGTCCTGTGGAGCTGGGCACAGTCGCTGAGCTGAGGAGATTTTTCATTGGTGGATCTCCTGAGCTGGAGGACATAACCTACGTCAGGATACCATCAACCTTCAAGGTGGGCTCAGCTGCAGGGCATTGCTTTTGCTGGGAGATGGTAGATTGTGCTTTTGGCTTCAGATGTCTGTGGACAGCCTGGACCAGATATGAACAAGGATGAGCTGGTGGTCCTGTCCCTCTGACTAAAGAAATGCCTCTGTGAGACTTGTGAGCATGGACAGAGGAATGGGCAAACACTGAGGCAGAGCTCTCTGCCTTCTGAGGTGTGTGCAGCTTAGAGAAGTGGGTGAACGTGGACCAAAGTCTTGACTTAGCCTTGCTTGTGCTGGCCCTGTCCAGAAAGTGTCAGTCAAGTCAGCATTTTTGCTAGCTATGGACTGCTTCCTTGTGTGTTTGTAAGGAATCTGGGCTGTACTGTGCCTGAAACAGTTTCCCGAAGCAAGAAGCTGATGGGAGTGAGGCAGGCATAAATTTCACATTCTTAAGAAAGCTGCAGAGGTGCTCGCTGGTGTAATGAGCAATTTGGTCTTAGCAGCAGCTTTGTGTGGGAGCGAGCCCTGCTGTGCCCACAGGACTCTGTGCCCACAGGACTCTGTGCCCACAGGAGTGCATACTCCTGCTGGGGCATGCTTGTTTCAGCCAGGGTCAGCCAGCTGCAGCAGGTTGCAGGCTGTGGTTACCCCAACTTTTGCTGTCTTTGCAGGGAGAGCGTCTGAGCCGCTTTGGTTTTCGCACAGAGACAACAGGGAGCGTCACGTTCAGGCTTTATTGCCTGCAGCAGTCTAAGTAAGTGCAGCAAAGTGAGTGTGAGCTCTGTCTTGTGTGCTATGTTTTGTCAGTCCTGACCTCCTGCTGTCTTTCTGTGCAGAGCTTTTCTGGAAACCAGTGCCCTGAGGCAGCGCATGCAGAGTGTACTGGACCGGCTTGGAGGCTTCAGCCAGCAGAGCTCTGTCTACAACGTTTTGGGTGAGGCTTTCCCTGTCATTCTGCCTGGTGAGCCTTTGGCTCACTTTTGCCCCCTTTTTACAGAGCAGGCAGGAGATTTCAGAAGAGTCTATTACTCTGGAGATAATTGCCCCGCTGTGAGGTCTCTGAGTCCATAGCAGAGGTCTGGTCTATCATTCTGATCTGAGCTGGAAACTTCAGGAGGCATCAGCTCTCAGCGGGCAGGAGGGATAACCACTGCGGGAGGGAAAAGCTGGCCTGCCTGGTCTTGCCTGGTGCTGAACATAGATTGTGGCTCTGATGCACAGGCTCTGTCTCTGATTCCATTACATGCAGAGTAAAAAACAGTGCTAGAAATAAGTGATGAGAGCAACAAGGGCCAGATGCTTTGCTGTTGGAGCTTAGTAACAGGAAGTGAGACTCCTGCTCCAGCAGAGGTGGTGTTCTCTGGGCAGACCCATCCCTCCCCTTCCCTGAGGCTGTCTGATGCATTCTGGTTTGCTGTCACCTGCTGTGTTGTAGAGGCTTTCCAGAGGGCACGGCGCCGGATGCAGGAAGCACGTGAGAGCCTTCCTCAAAACCTCATCAGCACCTCTGCCTCCACTGTGCAGCAGCCGCAGGAACCGTGATGATCATCTCCGCTGCCAGGGAGCAGGCAGCATCCGCTCTCCCACACGAGCTCCCCCTGTTCA